GCAGGTTTGGCCACGGAGGCCAGAGGCTTCAGGTCCCCTAAAACTGGAGTGAAAGGTGGTTATGAGCTGCCCAGCAGGAGCTGGGAACTGAACTGAGGTTCTCTGCAAGGGCAACTGGTGTTCTTCACCGCTGAGCCCTCTCTCCAATCCAAGTGCTCCATAGGTTAAAGATTTATTTCTTATGCATGCATGTATGCCCGCACGCCAGAAGGGGGCACCATATCTCATTACAGATGTTGGGACCCACCATTCAGTTGCTGGGAATTGAAGTCAGGACCTTCAGAAAGGCAGCCAGTACTCTTAACCCCTGCGCCATCTCTCCAGTCCCAAGTGTTCCATATTTTAAAGGCAATCTCAACCAATACTCAGTTCCACCTTCTACTCCCAGGTCAGCCAAGGCCATGAGATCCCTCCAGATAAAGCCCAGGCAAGACTGTGTTCTACCATCTCAGAAATCCCACTGAGTTGCGAGGGTGGAGACCAGCTCTTCTCGTTCACCTGGATGTTAGCATGTAAATGGGTACAGGTTCTGATCCTAAAGCCTACGTTTCTAGTGACATCCCACGCAGCATCAATGGTGCTGCCGGACCACTGATCTCAGCAAAGAGTTGGAACTGAGCTTCTCAAGGTTGGCGGCACCAGAATCACCAGAACATACATTCGAGACAGAAACGCAGACTCACTGAAGTTCTTAATGTGCTCTATGCCTCTCTCTTTGCTATTTTCTCAGGTGAGTCTGCTATACACGCAAAACCTGAGAACCACTGACTTGAGTGTTAGAGAAAGGAAAATAGAAAGAGGGGAATGGAGAGACAGAGGGACAGAAAAAGGGCATCAGTACAGCGGTTCCTCAAAACCAAACAAACTAAAATAAATAAATCCAGTCACTACTGGATTCATACCTGAAGGACTTTCGAGTCAGTATACCTCAGAGACATGCATAGATCCATGCAATTGCTACGCAGTGCACAGAACCAGCCTAACACCCACCACAGAGACACCTGCATGTCCACGTGCATCGCTACCCGATTCACAATAGGCAGAACCATCCTAGATGTCTATCGACAGATGAACAGATAAAGAAAATACGGTACATACACACAATGGACTTTTACTCAGACGTGAGTAAGAATAAAATGATGATGGACAGGAAAATGAATGGCACTGGACATTATTATGTTAATCAAAATAAGCCAGATTCAGAAAGACAAGTTTTCCATATATGGAATCTGTGTATCTGTGTCTGTGTGTCTCTGTGTGTGTGTGTGTGTGTGTGTGTGTGTGTGTGTGTGTGAGAGAGAGAGAGAGAGAGAGAAAGAGAGACATGGAAACAGATAAAGACCTATCTAAGAAGGGAGCTCTAATGGAAGGGAGGCAGGAGGGAGTTCACAAAGCGACGAGACAGCTGTGGCCCAGAGCAGGGCCACCTGCAGAGAGAAGAGTACCGGAACCGGGAAAAGATCAGGAGAGACAGCAAGGGTAGTGGGGGGCGGGGAGTCAATAAGAACAAAGTACAGTGTCTGAAAATGCCGTAGCGAACACATTACTTTGGACCCTCACCAAAAAAAAAAAAAGGTCATTAAAAAAAAAGAAAGAAAGAAATCCATGCATGTCACATGCCTGGAAACTCTATGTGTCACTAAACGAAGGTGACCTACGTAGAAGATATCCACGCGACAAGCAGTACAGCGTGTGGACACTCAGGACATAAACTGAGTTTCTAGAACAGGTAAAAACAGGATTTCTAAAGATCAGTTTTCACGTGAAGCAAGCTCTCAGAGGAGTCAAAGGTCACTCTGACACCTGGCTGACCTCTGGCCAAGAGAGGATTTCAAGGAATAAGAGCGGAGAAGGTCCTTTTAGACTTGAGCTCTTAGAGGCAAGGCCAGGCTCTGTGAGGAGCGGCAGGGAGAGGCAACAGCACTCAAGAAGGCCAAAACTCTAGAAAGGCTTCGGAAGGACAATCAGGACAAACTAAGCCTTTGCCAGAGGGCGTGGCTGAGCTTTTTGAAGGGGTGGGTGAGGGGCTCACCCTTTTCTCAAGGAGACCCTCACACTGGGCTGCTCCCCTGCCTAGGACACAGTACTGAGATCTGAAGTCAGAGCTTTTGGCTCAGATAACTCTGTGGATTTGTGACTTCCCTCGGTCTGTTCTCTGGATGTTACTGTTATTTATGCCATTTCTCTGGGACGAAAGTTCAGTGAGCACACTCTGGAGTCTGTCGCCCATAGCCCTTCTGGAAGGAGGTGGCTGGCACTTAGTTCAGATCCCAAGACTTCAGCTTGACTCCTGAACAGTCATTAAAATAAGTGAAAGACAGAAACATCACATCATAAAATACAGGGCATGCTAAAGAACTCCTCACTGAAACACAAATAAGATGAATTCAATCCAAATTGAGTCATGGAGGCCGATGCCACTGTCAGCCCTCTCAGTTCAAAGATTTTATTTATTACTTATTTATTTATTCATTTATCTGAGTCCTGGCTATTATGGAACTCACTATATATATATCGGGCTGGCCTTGAATTCATAAAAGTTGCCTGCCTCTACTTCCCAAGCGCTGGAATTAAAGGTGTGCCGCACTACAACCACCTTAATCCAAAGGTTTATTTGGCAGAAAAACAAAATAACAACAACAACCAAAGAAAAAACCAGCTAATGGATGCGCTGGTGTTTTCCACCCTGGGTCTCTCCGGTACTTCTGACAGAAGGGTTGGAAGCTGCAGCCTCATCCCAGAGATCTTGACGGTGAAGGGCAGCAGCTGGCAGACTTCTCTTTATGATACATGAGGGTGGGTGTGTGAGCTGGCCAAGATCGAATTTGGGGGCTATATAAAGTTCTGGAGTACAGGAATACGGATCTGAACTGTCCATTCAGTTAGGAATCTAAAGGGCCAGTTTGGGAGCCATGATGGCTAATCTCTATTGTCAACTTGACTGGACTGAGGGGTATCTAGGAAACATGCTTCTGGGGGTAGCTGTGGGGGTATTTTCAGAGGTGATAACTGGGAGCAAACGGCCCAGGCATCATTGCCTGCACTGGAGTCTGGGACTGAATAAAAACAGAAAGAGAAGAAGAGGAAGGTGAGGTGAACGTGAGCATTCAGCCCTGTTTTTATCTGTGGACTCGTGTGACTGGCTGCCCCATGATCTTGTGACCACGCCCTCCCCACTGGGGCTGACCGTACCCTCAAACTGTGAGCCCCAGTCAATCCTTTTTTCCCTTCGGTTCTCCGCCAACCATTTCATCTCAGTAATGAGGAAGGTAACGGATATAAGAGATAGGCCCACTCCCGATCCCGGTTTTGCCATTTCCAAGCGCCTCTGCCCCGCCTTCTGGGGAAGCTGGACCTATACTCCCATTTCTCCACGGAAACAGAAACCTGTGTTTCAGTCCTCTGTAGCCCATCTGAAGTCAGAACTAACCACTCGGCACTTTATCTGCCCGGCTTTAATGCCGCCTGCCTTCAAACAGTCCAGGAACTCCCCACGAGGCACAGAGAGCGGCAGTACTTCTTCAAACCCAGATCTCTACTGAGCAATGGGTGATGTCCCTAGGACCAACACTGGGACACCTTGCTTTTTTTTTTCCGGCCAAATACATCGGGCATCCACTCACTCTAGTTACAAAGCTCTGGGGAGATCCAAAGATGGTCTGGCTTCACAGGAATGTTTAGAACCCAGCCCCTTAAGAGAACCAAGCTGGAGAAAGGCCAGCCTACACACTCTCTTGGCTTGCTCTTTCTGAGAGTGAAGAGGAAAGAAATGGGAATTGGACAGGGCCTAGGCCCCTAGGCAATGGAAACACTATCAGCTTCCAAGTCTTACAACCTACCAAATTCAGGTGACACTAGAACCCCCTCCCAGAAAGTTTCTATCTCTTGATTCCAACTGAGGCAAATCAACAGAGCCTTGTTATAACTACTATAAGACGCCCACACTTCTGGCATCTGTATGTGGGGAAGCCCACTGCTACCAAACAGTCTACATTACACCTTCAGCCTCAGCCACTCTATAGGGCAGTCTTCTCTCTCAGTGCACTGAGGGTCATCCGTGTGGTCCCACCCGGCGAAAGTAGCCAGGTCCTCAGGCCTTAGAGCATGGTCATTCTGACGTTCACTCCTGTAGCTTGTGTCCAGGACAGGCCTAGGAAAATGCTAAGCACCTATTTCCTGTTAAAAGGGAGTGGGGAAGGGGAATCTTGTCTTTGCAACAGTCTAAGCACATTTTTCCTTCCTTTATTCAGCGATGAGTATGTGTCTGGAGATGTGGCTACAGAGGCCTTAGGCACTGTACCCCCTAGAGCTGGACTTACAAGCAGTTGGGAACTGTCTGGTGTGGGTGCTGAGAACTAAATTCATGTCCTCTGGGAAAATAGCGTGACCACGTAACTCTTAGCCATCCCTCCAGCCTCTCGGAACACATTTTCAATACATAAGTGAATATGTTCAATCTGCAGCAGTCCTAGGTGCATACTGTCAAACTCTGGCTCATTGCTGACTCTCAATGCTAACGAGCGGTCTCTACGTAATAAACACTGCAGAAAAGGCAATTCCATCACTAGTTCACAAAGTACAGAAGTGTTAACTTAAGAGGTCATCTAAGAAAATGAACAATGATCAGTATTTGTATCATTTATTAACTTAATTATGTGAGTGAGTATGTGGTTGAGGCAGACAGATGCACACATGCACACACATGCACACACACACACACACACACACACATACAGAGCTAAAACATATATCTGTATCAAAGACCACGGTTTTCATTTTAACTATGGTGATTAATTCCTTCCACCTGACCCTTTCCTCCATCAGACCCCTCTCCAGACCACATGTGTTTATTCTTAATCCCTTGGGGAAAAAATATAAAATAATAAGAATATATTGCTTTAAAAGCAAGATTACATCTTGAAGAAATGTGAGGTTTGATTTTCTGTATGTGTTCGCCAACCAGGGCAAAAGCTCAAACCCCAGCCAAATGCAAGTGTTACCTCAGGCAGTGGGTGATGGAGGTGTTCTGCTCCACATCAACAGAGAGGTCAAGAAAATCTTCATCTTTGCTACTCACCTGAAGGAAAAAAAAAAAAGGAGGGGGATTAGGTACAAAATGCACAGCAGACCCAGTAGCTAAAGCTTTGAGCGTTTATGGGTAACCCAGCATGTGCCATCAGTAAAGGTCACGTGGCCATGCCAAACCAGCGCTACTTCAAAACACCCCAACCAGACTCCCAATTCAGCTTCAGTCCTTCATAATTCCATAATGATTCAAAACGTAGGACCTAAAACTCAGCGGGGCTTCCCTTCGTCTCCAGCTGTTCCTCGTTGTTCTGACCAATAAGCATTAGACAAGTATCTATGCAGCCCATACTGGCAGAGGAGGGGACAGAGAGAGGACAAGAGATAAGCAGCCTCCACCCCAACGGTGACCCTTCACTAGGTCCAGTCCCTTGATGTCATTTCCTCCTCCCAGTGCCCAGTCAAGACCTGTGGGACTAGGGAGCCAGATTGCCATGCTAATTCCCATCAAGCTGTCCTTCAGATGTGGTCACCATGTGCAGAGTCCTGTGCTGTCATGCCTGAGCTGGTCACACAGCCCACCCCGACACAGGCCACTCTCAGCCAAACCAGCCCACGGGCCCTGTTTGCTCCTCAGGACTTCACCTGTCTGTCAGACTTCACCCAGTGACTGCTTCCAATCCACTCAACAAACCCTGAGATTTGACAGTTACGCTGGTAGCATGGGAAGAAGGAGCTGAAGAATTCCATCAGCCATGACAAAATGAAGAACACACTCGTGTAAAAGAGCAAAAACTACTCTGTAACCACAGATTCTAGAAAAAAAAAAATGACCTAGAGATGTACTCAAAGTTGCAGGCATACTCTGATACGATTACAGGCAAACAGAAAAACAGGGGCTGCCGCTACAGCCTATGAAGTGGGTGAACGAAGACCATTACTTAGACTCTCTCTATCTCAGTTTCATCCTTGGGTGAGGAAGAGCACCTTCTAAGATTATTGAAAGGTAAGATAATATATGCAAGATCTTTAACAAGTAAGTGTTCAGGGCTGGTTATTGGAACATTCTTATCCCAGGACTTGGGAGGCAGAGGCAGGTGGACCTCTGTGAGTTTGAATCGACATAGCAAGTTCCAGACTGGCCAGTGTGACATGAAATCCTAATCTTTAGCAACAACAACAAAAAGCTGGGTGTAGTGGCACATGCCTTTAACCCCACCATTTAGGAGGCAGAAACAGGCAGAGGTCAGTGTTTGAGGCCCGGTTGTTCCACACAGTAAGTTCAGACAGCCAAAGTTAATACAAACTGAAACTGTGTCTCAAAAAGAAAAAAGAAAAAAAAAAAGGCGGGGGAGGGGGAGCTCAGTAAATGGAGGAGAGGTAAAGATGGCTGATGGTCTAAAATGTTCACGAAGCTAGAAATGGTTTGCTACATTACGGCAGCTACATTAAATGAGAAAAGTGGGCTGTGCAATTACACTCACTAACTCCAACTCTGTTTAAAAGGCACGAACAGCCTTTCTGGCTCTCTGTCACCTGTGTGTTCAGCACTTACTTCTGCTGGGGTGGAAGCCGTGTGTGTGTGTGTGTGTGTGTGTGTGTGTGTGTGTGTGCAGCCAAGCCTGGCCTTGAACCGAATCCTTGATCCTCATGCCTCAGCCCCATGAGTGCTGGGATTTCAGATGACTGCAGACGGGCAGGCATCACGCACCACTGCACCCAGCTGTTTTCCCATTCTTGAAGGCAGCCCTGTAATTCCTCTCGGCCAGGGAGACTTTAGAAGACACGCTATAAGCAGATACTGGATAAGCACTGGTAAAACCACTTTCCCTTTTTTAAAAATTTATTTTGTTAATTCTACCAAAAAGCTTCTACAACTCATAAACACCATCGGTAATGTAGCAGGATGCAAGATTAACTAAAAGAAATAAAAATCAGTAGCCCTCCTTTACATAGATGATAAATGGGCCGAGAAAAATATCAAGAAATATCACTTTTCACAATAGCCATTAATAGCATAAACTGTCTCTCAGAGTAACTCTGACCAAACAAGTGGAAGACACCTGTATGACAAGAACTTTAAATCTTTGAGGAGAGAAATTGAAGAGGACACCAGAAAATGGAGAGCTCTCCCATGCTCTGCGGTGGTAGAACTAGCAGAGGACAAATGCCGATCTTACCAAAAGCAATCTACAGAGTCAATGTAATGCCCAGCAAACTTCTTCACAGACCTTGAAAGAATATTACTCAATTTCATACAGAAAAGCAAAAAACTCAGGATAGTCAAAACAATCCTGTACAATAAAGGAACTTCTGGAGGCATCACATCCCTGACTTCAAACTCTACTACAGAGCTACAGTACTGAAAACAGCCTGGTAATGGCATAAGAAGAGACAGGAGGACCAACGGAACTGAATTGAAGACCCAGATATCAATCCACACACCTACGAACATCTGATTTTTGACAAAAAAGCAAAAAAAATATAAAATGGAAAAAAGAAAGCATATTCAACAAATGGCGCTGGCGTAACTGGATATCAATATGTAGAGGAATGAAAATAGACCGATATCTATCGCCATGCAGAAAATTCAAGTCAAAATGGATAAAATACCTCAACATAAAACCAACCACACTGAACCTCATAGAAGAGAACGTGGGAAGTACACTTGAACACATTGGTACAGAAAATCACTTCCTAAATATAACCCCAGTAGCACAGACATTAAGAGAAACAATTAATAAATGGGACCCCCTGAACCTGAAAAGCTTCTGTAAAGCAAAGGGCACAGTGAACAAGACAAAACGGCAGCCTACAGAATGGGAAAAGATCTTCATCAACCCCACATTGGACAGAGGGCTAATCTCCAAAATATACAAAGAACTCAAGAAATTGGTCATCAAAAGAACAAATAATCCATTTTTTTAAAAAAGGAATACAGACCTAAACAGAAAACTCTCAATAGAAGAATTTAAAATGACTGAAAGACACTTAAGAAAATGTTCAACATCCTTAGCCATCAGAGAAATGCAACTCAAAACAACTCTGAGAGTCCATCTTACACCTGTAAGAATGGCCAAGATCAAAAACACTGATGACAACTTATGCTGGAGAGGTTGTGGGGTAAAGGGAACACTCCTGCATTGCTGGTGGGAGTGCAAGCTGGTACAACCCCTTTGGATGTTAGTGTGGCAATTTCTCAGAAAATTAGGAAACAACCTTCCTCCAGACCCAGCAATACCACTTTTGGGTATATACCCAAAGGATGCTCAATCGTACCACAAGGATATGTGTTCAACTTTGTTCATAACAGCATTGTTTATCATAGCCAGAACCTGGAAACAACCTAAATGCCCCTCAACCTAAGAATGGATAAGAAAAAATGTGGTACATTTACACAATGAAGTACTACATATCAGAAAAAATAACATCTTGAAATTTGTGAGCAAAGGGATGAATCTAGAAAACAACATATTGAGTGAGGTAACCCAGACCCAGAAAGATAAATATATGTATTCACTCATAAGTGGCTTTTAAACATAAAGCAAAGAAAAACCAGCCTATAATTCACAATCCCAGAGAACCTAGACAACAACGAGGACTCTAAGAGAGACATACATGATCTAAACTACATGAGAGGTAGAAAAAGACAAGATTCCCTGAGTAAATTGGGAGCATGGGGACCATGGGAGAGGGTAGAAGGGGAGGGGAGAGGAAGGAAGGGAAGTGGAGAAAAATATATAGTTCAATAAAAACAAGAAAAAATATTTGGAAAAAAATTATTGTGTTTTATGTGGATGAGTATTTTGCCTACATGTGTTCATATTTCTGGTACCTGCACAGACTAGCAGAGGGGGTCAGGTCCCCAGAATTAGAGTTATAGACAGCTGTAATCTGCCATGTAGATGCTAGGAATCGAACCTGGGTCCTCTAAAAACAAAACAAATAAAAAGCTGCCAGTTCTCTTTAACAGCTAAATCTTCTCTTCAGCACCATGAAACTGCTTTCTTGCACTTCTGCCATCACCATAAGAATGCTAAACCAGTAGTCATGTGCTGATTGTACGCACCTTTAATTTCAATGCTAGGGTGGAAGAGGCAGGCAGATTTGTGAGATCAAGGACAGCCTGGTCTACAGAGTGAATTCCAGGACAGTCAGGGCTACACAAAGGAACCAGTCTGAGATTGTTCTTCAAATTTGCCCACACCTGACTGACCACTGAGCTCTGCATGCACAGAGTACCCTCAATGCGCTCAGCAGACCCAATATTCAAACTGCCACCGAACAGACAGAATTGCTGGTTTCAGTCCAAGACAAACACTTACAAAAACTAAGAAAAACCAATACTCATTAACACTGTCAGGGTCCTTATCAACACCCAAATTATAACACATGAAGAGACCAGAAAAAGAAAGTGAAAAGGTTTTTGCAGCCCGATAGGCCTCTCCACCGATGCAATAATCCAAATCAGATCAAATAAAACTGAATTAGAAAAAGCCCAGGTTTAAAGGATGCCAGCGCTCCAGGTGACCTTCCAGGCCCTCAGAGGGGAGATGGAGGAAGGAAGACCGGAAACCACATGTTTGTTCTCTGGGGAGCAGTTTAAATACCCGGTGGGAGTGGTCTTGAGCATCTCTAGGGAGGGGTCACCATTTGGCGGGCTTTCTCGGTGGTGGAGTCTGGATTGAGGCAACTCCGAGAGGAGGGGGCTTGGGATGGAACTTTCCACCCACATGTTCCAGACATTTTGGATATATGGATGCCAGGAGCTGAGGTGAAGACTTAACCCAAACATTCCAGACTCTTTGGGTACAGGGGTGCCAGGGGCTGGGGTGACACTTCCAACCAAACAGGAGATCAACCCTGGGATGACCCAATGTTAGGATTAGCAGTTTAAATTTTTAAAGAGAAACCCCTCTTAACTCAATCCCCAATACCATGGAAGGAAAGCGGGAAAAGAAACAAAACAAACAAAGACACTATTATAACCATCTTCAGTAAAACAAAAGAAAATACACTTATGGCCTGGCACAGAGGCACTGCCCTTTAACT